TGACTTTTGAATAGAAGGCAATTGTATTTTACATAATTTCCTTTCCACATGTGTTTGGTTGTTATGTTGTGTAAAGTGAAGACATCTTTTCCATGGAAATGCAGTGTCCCTAGTTCATTTTCAATCATTCAAGTTTTTCTAGTCCCAGTGAAAGTTACTGAAAGTATTTGATGGAATCACTGGCACCCTGCAGTGTGACTACAGGATAGTCTATTTTCCATTGTTTGTGCTGCAAAAGTTAAATTAAGACCAGATGCCAACTACAATCCACTAGTGGATTTACTAGATTTAGGACAGGAGGCTGGAGGATGAATGTTAAGAACAGGCCACAATAGAGATTAGTTATTGTCGAATTGTATATATATTTTTGTAGACAGATCTGGATTAATGTTTATCCCAAACAAGAGATTACTATATGTCTGTTTCTGGTTGTAAACAGACATTATTAAACAGAAGGTTTATGTTCATGAAATGCAACTACAGGTGTTGAACACTTATGATTTATTGTGTTCCAATGAGGGGGGGGATCACCTGTTCAAGTTCTCCACCAAGAATTACAAGGGAGATGGATGAGACACCTTTTTTCCTTAGTGAAAATAGGTAACAAAAGAAACTAATATAACTGTAGCACTTTGGATTGTTCAGAGCATAGTGTAGCAGTTGAGTGTAGGACTGGGTTCAGGTTCTTATCCCCATTCTGCTGTAGAAGCTCCCTAGGTGATCGTGGGCCACTTTCATTCTTTACTTTGTAAAGAAATGGGGTGCAAATGAAGTAAATCAATAAGTACATTTTAAATCTTGCTTTCCTGTAATGATGCAACTTTACTGGCAATCTTTGTTTTGCCTTTTTATAAACAAGTAAGAGGCTAGCACAGATGGTATACTTTAAACATTACTTTCATTGCTCTGGGTCTTCATGATTTATTTTTTAAAAGAAGTCTTTGGGCAGGGTCTGACAAAAAGTAAACATTTTAAAGCCCCGGTTATTTTAGCAGGGTAGTTCAGTTTGCACTTGTCTCACTGCTGCTCATTGTAAAGTCTACAGTGCAGTCGAGTAACACTGTTGTTAATTGCCTGATGATTTAACAGCTGAGCGCTGTATGTTTAGCCAGATGTTCTTGCTCTTCCCCTCAAAACCAACTGTGTAGTTACAGATTAAGCCGAATATGTTCTGATACATTACGCTAATGCCCACTTGCATATTTGAGCAACTTTGCCTACCAAAATAAAGCGAGAGTCCAGTAGCACCACAGAGAGTAACAGAATGTATTCCAGCATAAGCTTTTGAGAGTCAGAGCTCACTTTATTGCCCAGCAGAATTATCCTGTAAAGACACTCTCATCAAGATTAGTCCTTAAATTTGCAGAAGAAACTATATTATCTGCATGGAAATGTATATGAAAACTCGGGGGGGGGGATTTGTTTCTTGAATTGTGATGTTACAGTACCATAAGTTTGTTTATAGTTACACATACCAAACAGCTATTTGTAAATGACTCTGAAATATTTGAGTTAAATCATTTCTCCTTTTACGCTTGTGCACTAAAAATTTCAAGTGTATATTTGTTTTAAAACTAAAAAAAATGTGTGGTGTATTTCCCTTTTTATCTTTACAGTACAGAGAATTCATAATACTAATATTCTAAGCATGAAGTCAGGGTTACTCCCATTCTGCATTGAGTAATAACAACTGTGCTTGAATCATGACGAACAACTGCATAAGAAGGCTATGAAGCCTGGGCTTTTGAGAGGATATTTCAAAGGTGTATTATATCTATAGTTGAACTGCATCCTTCTTTGCCCCCTGTGTTACTTTACATGGTACATCTTGCTGCAGCTGCTATTTAGAGCACTTTTCAGACTATCAAACCAACGTCTTCCTCAAAATATTCTCTAAGAAAAATTACATCATTATTGCCTCAAAATTCTGTGTTAAATAGATGGATTTTGCATTTAAAGAAGTGTGAAATAATAAGACAGTGTAGAATATACCAAATGCTATACAACTTCAGCTGTGTGTAGTGAAACACTTCATTCATGTGCACATAGAGGCTACTATATTATTTTATTATTGGTATATAGATGTAGTACTTTGCCATCTCCACTCAGCCAGCAGAGAGCCATAAGTCATTAAAATGACCTCCATCTTCCTAAGCAAAGTAAAGACAGAAATGAAGATGCATTTCTGTTATCAACCTACTGTGGGTCAGTAAGCTGTATCGTTGTACCAGTACACAGAGCTTTGACATGGTATTTAGCCGTATTAAGCTTATTGCCACTGAGTTAAGCATGTCTGAAGCAAACGATGACCCCTCACATCTCTGTGATGGCAAGATGTCTCCCTGACGTGATCTCACAGACTTGGAGCATTAAGTTAATTTCCTCCTGGATTTCTGAGCGGAGTCCTTTCTACCCTGCGGAAAGCCTGTGAAGAATACAGCTTTTGACCAAATGACAGAGCAGGGAGGGAGAAACTACATGCATTAAATTAGAATATGACAGACAGGCTATCTAAATATCTGTCACAATGTTACTTAAGCAATACAGTGTCCAACTCTAAAAGTGAAAGCAGGCCACCAAAACTAATAGCAGGTGTACCATCCAAATAAGTCAGTAGCTTTGAGAGGTTAGCTGTAGGCTGTGCATGGACCGCCATAATGCTTAAGAGATGCTTCCATGTAAGTTCTGCTTCCTTCCATTTTGCCATTGCATGAATTAACCACTAGTAAGTTTTCTGTATCCAAGGTGCCACTTCAGACATGAGTTGCTGCTAAAACGTTCTGATGTTGTAGTTCTGTAGAAATTGAGAATCTTATTGTTGGCATTTCTCAGTCCATGTCTGTAGGCTACAGTGTTTTAGATTATTTTATGCCATCAAGTCACAGCTGGTTTATGGCGACCCTATGGGGTTTTGAAGGCAAGAGACAACAGAGCTGTAAACTGCTTTGGGTCCCCACTGGGGAGAAAAGCAGGATATAAATATCCAGATAAATAAATAAGATCATGTTTCAATTTTAGAGCACAACCAGCAACAAAAAATTTGTTCTGAGAGGCTAATATTGTGGGGAACTCAGCCATTAATTTACTGGTTGTTCTTAAACAGGCCTCTGTTGTTTTATCTTTAATGTAAGAACGATAGTGACCCACATCGCAGAACAGTTGTGGGGAGAATAAGATTAGGACTGAAAACAGTTTCCACTGAGCTGTGCTTACCTTCTCGTGTCTTACTGCAGGCTGCAGGCAAAAGCTTCCTTAAAGCTATCAGCTGGCCAGCAGGGGTGAGCAGGGGAAAGGGAAAGGCTGGTGTCCAGCTGCTCCCTTAGTTCCACCCTGCCTGGCTTATCAGAGGCTTTACTTACAGCACTTCGTATGTTCACATGTTAGCATTTATTTTTGCAGTCTGGTTCCTTAGTACAAAACACAAATTCTTATTGGCTGCAGTCCTACATGTGGTCCAACACACATAGATGGGATTTTAGTAGCCAGTATGCAGAATTATGGCTATCGTCATTTGTGGAAAACATCATTTTGCATAAACAAAACAGAGAAAAACTTCAGTTTAGAGACATGGATTCCTTCAGAAGTGGTATTTTAGATAATAAACAAAAAACTTTTGGGAAGCCCTGTTATTTTTTTAATCTTTTCTAACATTTCATGAGATGCCAAGACAGGGTTAATCCAGCCATGTACATTTCTGTGCCATGTATGGTGGTAATAAAGCTTGTGATCCCTTGATCTTTGATTAAATTCAATCTAGTAAATATCTTGTGATTAATCACAATGAGTTGTTCTGTAGTACAATTCACATTCCCAGATGGGGCTACATCATCAGAGTTTTGGCGTTTTTTTAAAAAATGTTTTAATCCTTTCTATGAGACTTGGTTTCTGTTTGTATGAAATCAAATACAGAAATCAAAGCAAGATTTTAACTAAAAGCAAACAAGATAGTTTAATATGTTGGTATATATTCAGATTCATTAAAAAGCCTAATTTGTGTGGCTTATACACTTTTTAATAGAAATCATATTGTCTTTTTATTTTTTCAATGAAGGTACATAACATTATTTGCTTAAAGTACCAAGGAATCTGTTAATATGTATTTGTACATTTTACGTGCAACTTAAAATGCTAGAAAGATTGTGGGCCATTGATTAGTTGTGATAACATTTATGAACCAGTTACCGGGAACCAAAGGCCCTGGCAGCCAAGCAGGCAGGTCCAGCCACCAACTAAAGACATTCTCAGCTACTTTGACACACATTGACTATGCAGTCAGCTACTTTGACACACGTTGACTATTCCACGTCTAGGTCATCCCTTCAATGCTTCTCTTTCACATGCTTCAAGATGTTCCTGACATTAAATATGTGTGGAAACCCTGCAGATTTAGAACCTCCATGTGTGCACCAGTACATCCAAAGAGCTTTTGATGAGGGCTTCTGGCTTGGATCCAAATGTGCCCATACAGAAACAGAAATCATGTGCTTAAGCAACAAAAGGAGGTTCCACCAGTTCCTGCTGCACTGCCTGCAAGCCACATTATTCCAGAAGGTCCCCATATCCTGAGAGTGGCTCTTTGGGGGCACAGGGGGCTACAACGTCAAGGTGAAAACATATTCTGTTAACAGAGCTATTGTCACAGTTCATTGGATCCAAGCCTCTGTACCTGATCAATAGAATGCTAATAGGTTGGATCCAGTGCAAAATTTCCTCTTGTGCTAGAGCTCTTGGTAAAGCAGAAATGCAAGAAAATGACCCTGGTGGCTGCTTATACAATTTATGTATTCCCCATGTGAATTCCTGCTTGTGCAAGATCGTATGCAACCAATTTCAGGGCAATATAATATATAAACGAGAAAGCACTAGGTATTGCACAAGATCTTGTGCAAGCAGAATTGCACTAAGTCCATTCTGCTTGTGCATCACTGAATTCAATGACATCATGTTGGCATGATTCATATATGAATTAACTATATTTTCTTTTTTGTTGTTCTTTATAGGAGACCCGGAGAGCCTCCATTAATCAATGGTTGGATTCCTTTCTTGGGAAAGGCCTTGGATTTTCGAGAAGATCCTTCCAAGTTATTGCTGACTCTGCAACAAAAATATGGTGATATGTTTACAGTGCATATTGCTGGTGAGAAACATGTTATCTCATAGAGACTTCTTAGTAGGCAAAGTAAAAATGAAGATGTTCAATTTCTGATTTTGTATGCATAAGAACATGAAAACTGCCTACCTAAATTGGATCAAGATTCTTCTAGTCCAACATTCTGCTTCCAAACGCATACCTTAAAATGTTCGCAAACAAAGCATGGTAGTGATGGGTTTTCCCAGCTGATAGTCTGCAGAAACTTGTATTTAGAATCTTGATGCATTTGTATATTCTTGCACGTGAAACATTATACCTATCTTTATGAAACCAATATTTATTAAACCACATTACCCGCACCGTGTGGGGGGAAAGCCATGGCTGAAAAGCGGAACAACACATCGGCCAATAACTTACCATCCCTGGTGGAGGCCACATCGGGCTGGGCATTGGAACGCCCTAGACTGATAGTACTGGTTGATTTCAACGTCCATGCTGATGATGTGACCTCCACTCAGGCAACGGACCTGGTGTCATCCATGGCAGCACTAGGACTCTCCCAATTTATAACAACTCCCACTCATTGGGCTGGGCACATGCTTGATTTGGTCTTCGAGGAGGAGGAGGAGGAGGAGGAGGAGGAGGAATTTATACCCCACCCTTCACTTGGAGTCTCAGAGCGGCTTACAAACTCCTCTCCCTTCCCCTCCCCACAACAGACACCCGGTGGGGGGGGGGGCTGAGAGAACTCTGACACAAACTGCTCTTTTTCAAGGACAGCTGTGCCAGAGCTTGTGACTGACCCAAGGTCACATCAGCAGGTGCAAGTGGAGGAGTGGGGAATCAAACCCGGTTCTCCCAGATTAGAGTCCACGCACTTAACCACTACACCAAACTGGGTTACAGTGGACTGGATTACTGCTTTGGCAGTACCTTTCACTGAAGGCCCGTCTGAATATCTCACCCCGACCCTGTTTGGGCAGTGAGCCCATTTTTGCTCACCTGTGCACCCAAGTGGACCCGATGCGGCTTTAGATAGCTCTCCGGGATCCAGTGCCCCCTGGTGGCTCATTAGACGAGCTTGTAGAGGATTGGCATAACCGACTCTCAACAGCTATTGACGAGATAGCTCCCCAATGTCCTCTGCACCCTCGCTCTAGGCTCACTCCATGGTTTACCCAGGAGTTGCAGCTGATGAAGTGAGAACTAAGACAATTAGAGAGAGAGTGGTGGCGTACTTGCGACAAAGCTACAAGAACATCTTATAGGACATTTATGAGATCCTATGAGATGGCAATCAAAGCCACAAGAAGAGAGTACTATATGGCTATGATTGTGTCTGCAAGCTCACGCCCAGCTTTGTTGTTTAGAATGATTCGGTCCATTACTACTCTGCCACAAGACAAACCAAATGCTAGGGAATTGGCCATTGGCTTTGAGGCCTTTGCGAGCTACTTTGCAGATAAACTCCTGTTGGTCCACCATGACCTCCCACTACAGTTGATACAGTGAGTGAACTCGAGGCTCCATGCATGTCTTCTGGTCAAGTTACGGATCATTTCGGTCTACTCAACCTAGAGGAAGTCAACAAATTGTTTCTGTCTGCCCTATCACCTACTCCCTTGATCCGTGCCCTTCATGGCTAATTAAAGCTGGCCATGAGGGGTTTTAAGGTGCCTTGTGGGAGATTATCAACAAGTCCCTTTCAGAGGGACTGTTCCCCGAAGCACTTAAGGAAGCAGTGGTCCACCCTCTCTTGAAAAAGCCATCTCTAGACCCAGCCAAATTGGTCAACTATCGGCCGGTCTCCAACTTGCCCTATTTGGGCAAGATAATAGAGAGGGCAGTGGCGGTTCAGTTACAGGGCTTTTTGGAAGACACTTCCATTTTAGATCCCTTCCAGTCTGGCTTTCACCCAGGCCATGGGACAGAGATGGCACTGGTCACCCTCACGGATGACCTCTGGAGGCATCTGGATCAAGGTGGATTAGCAGTGCTCTTGGACTTGTCAGTGGCGTTCAACATGGTCGACCATCAGCTACTGACCCACCACCTCACCAACGTTGGAATTCAGGGGCTGGCCTTACAGTGGCTTGTCTCCTTTCTCCAAGGTCGGGGACAAAGGAGACACTAGGGGAACAGCTGTCCTGAAGGCACCCACTGGATTGTGGGGTTCCTCAAGGGGCAGTGCTGTCCCGATGCTTTTTAATATCTATATGCCCAGATTGCCCTGAGGCATAGGCTGGGTTGTCACCAGTATGCAAATGACACCAGCTCTATCTGCTGTTGGGCGGTCAGTCTGACTCCAAACTGGAAGATCTGGACTGGGTGCCACAAGCCGTGGCTAGTTGGCTTAGGCTGAGCTGACTGAAACTGAATCCGATGAATACGGAGGTCCTGTGCCTGAGTCAGAGTGGGCTGGGGTTAGGGATCCTGCTCCCGACTTTCGATGGGGCACCATTGGTGCCAGCACCGGAGGTTACAAGTTTGGCAGTGTTCCTGGATGCCTCCTTAACAATGGAGGCCCAGGTAGCAGCCACTGCCAAATCAGCCTTTTACCATCTTCAGCTGATCAGACAGTTGGTTCCCTTTCTTGAACACGACCTGGAAACAGTGATCCATGCAATGGTCTCCTCGAGATTGGACTACTGTAATGTTCTCTACATGGGGCTGCCCTTGTCTCAAATCCGGAAGCTGCAGCTGGTGCAGAACACTGCAGCCAGGCTCCTGATGGGGCTCTCTGGACAGAAGCACATACAGCCTGTGCTAAAGGCACTGCACTGGCTGCCGATAGCATACCGGATCTGTGTCAAGGTGTTGGCTCTTACCTTTAAAGCCCTATATGGTCAGGGACCTACATACCTGAGGGACCGTCTTTCCCCACATGTCCCCCAGAGAGCACTGCGATAGGGGCTCAGAACCAACTGGCCCTCCCAGGTCTTAAGGAGGTTAGGCTGTCGATAACCAGGACCAGGGTTTTCTTGGTGGTGGCCCCATCCTGGTAGAATGAGCTCCTGGAGGAGATCAGGGCCCTGCGGGACCTCCTACAATTCCACAGGGCCGGTAAAATGGAGCTCTTCCACCAGGCTTTTGGGAGCTGCCACCACCACCAATAATGAACAATGGATGGCTGAATGTGAGAGGGCCCTGGATCCTGGAAACTGCCACCAACAGCCTAAAGGACATGAAGCACTGTAAGAACAATCAAAATGAACACTGCGAGCTGATGCAAGCTGACTGGGAGTTAAGAATACTGAATTATGGCTGCCACCATCAAATGAACAACATTGATCACTAGCACTTTATAATGGTTTTACGCTTGTTTTTAATTGTAATGTATGTTTTAATGTAATCTGTTTTTATGTAAGCTGCCCTGAGGTTGGGAGGGCAGGGTGAAATTCAATAAATAAATAAATGAATAAGGCATATGGAAGAACCAGGTTTGAATCCACACTCTCCTGTAGAAGATTACTGGGTAACCGTGGATCTATCACTCTCTGTCAACTTGACTTACCTCACAGGGTGGCTATTGGTAGGGTAAGGTAGAAAAGGGAAGAATGTAAGCTGCTTTAGGTTCACATTTAAGCTTGCCAAGTCCCCCGGGGGGCGGGGAAACCCCCACCCCAGAGGCCCATTACGCGCCACTGGCGGATCGGGCCCCAGGGGGAACCCCACCCACAAAGCATGTGACGTGCCTGGTGTCAGCACATCACCCGGAAGTGACACAGCCACGCCGGGCGCACCAGGGGCGGGGCCGCAGTCATCCGAGGGAAAACCCCGGAACGGGGCTGGAGTCCCCCACTGTACATACAGCGGGGACTTGGCAACCCTATTCACATTGAGGAGGAAAGTGGGGTATAAATAATAGCAATAGTAGTAATAAACATGCTTTGCATACAGGAGGTTCCATGTTCATTCCCTGGCATCTCCAGTTCAAAACAAAGAAGAAAGAATATTAAGAATATCAGCAGAATAAGGTGATATAATCTTGAAGAGGCAGAATGAGCTGTAGCTCTTCAGGCTATGGGTAGGGAGTGACATGTTTACAGTACTCCCCTATACAAAAACTTCCTACAAACAAAATAATCAGTGTGTACATGGAGCATTTTTGTGCACTGTGCTAGTATACTATTTATTAGGGATTATTAAAAAAAAATGAATCCCTCACCTACAGTCCAAATTCACACAGTCCATGTTGCTACCACCATCCTCTGCCACCTCATTCCCACTTCATTCTGCTTCATATGTAGACCAGGTAGCAGGTGCTGGGAAATGTCTTTGTCCGCCTGAGACCCTGGAGAACAACTGCCAGCCAGGATAGATGGCATTGACCTAGATGCATCAATGGTCTGATCTGGAATACAGAGTGTTTGTACGTATCTCTTACATATGTAGGCTGGATCCCCAGTGTTAATTTGAGTATGCTCAAAGGTTTGTATTTATATGTTCACAGCACATTTCTGTACCAGATCACAGTCTGTGTTAGAAACTCAGGGGGAAGCTACTCTTCAACAGACACAAGTCATAGAATATTCAAGAATAGCTGTATTGTTGTGTATATGTATATAAGTGTACTATGGATACATGGCTATGCAGGATATTTTGCATACCCATTGTACAAAATGTAAATAATGCTTGCTCATTTTAAGCGTTCTCTCAGCAAAATGGATTCATGAAATCATCTACAGAGCAACACTATTGATTCACATCTAGTCTATGGCTAAGGTTCCCCCCCCCCCAAGTACGGACTATTTGTCTGATTCTTTTTGCAGTGAAGTTGACAGTAGCATAGAAAAATGACTGACATATTAATACATTAGGCTGAGAACACAGAAGCTACTTCTCTAATGATGCATCGCTCTGTACACACATGTTAATAAATGCAGAACAATGCAGACTGGTACTGTATAGTGATCTGCAGTTTGTATCTTAATTCTGCATTTGGTACACGTGCACGCAGAAGAGTTATAAAATCTTAGGAAATCTAGTGCATGTATGGGATGCAAAATAAGACTACATGCTTTCCTATTCCTTATAATGTGGGC